GTGTCAAGTTGACATTTTGCACGATTATTCATCGTCGATGACAATACATGAAGAAATAAAAAAAATTAGCAAATTTTTTAAACTCAATTAGTGATAATTAAATTACTTTGTTTCATTTAGAAAAAGGGAGTTAAAAAGGGAGTGTGATAAATGACAGTGATTTAGCATTCCTCTTCTTAGATTATCTTTGGGGCTTATTTTAAGGATTTTTAAAATGTGTTTGTTACAATATAAATTGTTCTTTCTTTAAACTGATTTGAAAAGTTAGGTGTATTTTAGTTGGCATAAAAATCTTCTTCTGTCTTGTAAGTTGACATTAGGAGTGTGCTTTGTTATTTTACTTGGCATTAGGAGTGTGTTTTGTTATTTTAGTTGGTATTAGGAGAGTGTTTTGTTATTTTAGTTGGCATTAGGAGTGTGTTTTGTTATTTTAGTAGGCATTAGGAGTGTGTTTTGTTAGTTTAGTTGGCATTAGGAGTGTTTTATTTTACTTGGCATTAGGAGTATTTTCTTATTTTAGTAGGCATTAGGAGTGTGTTTTGTTATTTTAGTTGGCATTAGGAGTGTGTTTTGTTATTTTAGTTGGCATTAGGAGGGTGTTTTGTTAGTTTAGTTGGCATTAGGAGTGTGTTTTGTTATTTTAGTTCTCCTTATTTGGTATTATAATGGAGGAGGCGTTTCGCTTGGTTGATGTATATGCAGGAGCGTAGCTTACTGAGGAAAGTGTCTCTGTGTGGGGGGATGTTCTTTAATCCAGAGCTACTCAATGTTGGTTAATTTTTAAAATTCTTTTCTACTTTCTACAAGATCGCCTCCTTTTCCACCCCCTGACTTCTGTATGTGAACCCATTCTTTCTGTCAGCTACGTGTTCCTGTACATGAGAACTAGATCTTTGTGTAGAAAGGTTTTTACAAGGTTTATATCAACTCACTCTGTTTTTCTGTCTGGTAAAAAGTTTGTACACGTTATTTCTCCCCACCCAATCTCGGATCAAGCTGAAATTTTACACAATTATTTCTTTTACCTGGCAAAACTACAATCAATAAAAAAAAAAGCCAATTAGCTATTGGTAATTAATTATTTTGTTTGGTATCGAATAATGGAATTTTACTGGTGGGGTGGTATGAGTTGAATTAACACCCTTTATATTTTGTAGAGAGAAATAGGTCGCCACTTTAAAGTTTGAAACTGGTCCAGACAAGTGCTAGGATCTTAGCGCGCATTGAGAAAGCTAAAAATATGAAATTACGATAAACAAAAACACTTGGTAAAAATATTTGTTATAGCACAGACTTGTTATTGTTAGTCTAGATCTAATTCAAATTTAATGACATGACTGATACAACTACATTTAAAATATACTTTTTTTAAAAAGTATTTTTTATATTTTTCTTGCTAAAGTGATAGCATTTATATTATTAAACATCATTCAACACAATTCACTGCTTCTTAACACTGTTTAACTTGGGACTTTTGAAATGCTTACAGTAGTTTGTTTATATTTAGCTCTTAACGTGCTATTTAATTTTTTATCATAATATAATTCATCGTTGAACTGAATTTCCTGATTCGGAATCTTTGATCCCGGTTTTGAAAAGAAATAACAAAAAATAGCTCAGAATGACGACCTCTGGTTCAATGACTCGATATCTTGGTTCATTGATTCGATATTTGTCTTGAATGAAAGCAAACAAAATGCAATCATCACATTCACATTCAAGGGATCACATTTCTTTGGTTTCTTTTTCCTTGCACGTCATGAGATGGCATCGCAATGTTACCCGGGAGTCATTAAGAATTCGTTGTTTTATTAATTTATCGCAGTGTACACACGTCATGTTGTGGTATCGATCCCCGGTGCAGCAGTTTCACAAAGTGTTGCGTGCCACGTCTGCATCTCTATTAGGCTACTTCTACTTCCGTTTGACCACACACGCGCGCACAAGAAATTAACACATTCACACGATTGCAAGCACGACATGACACACACACACACATGCAAACGAGGCTTCTCGTGTACAGACGACACATACAATTTAATCAGCCGCCCCTTTGTCCATCAATCCTCACTCTCAATAACTTACCAGAGAGTTACTTCCTCTTAGTCTAGTCTTATTTCAAAAAATCAGATACGCTAAAGGCGTAATTGAAGTGGGTGCTGATTCATAAACTGTGTGTCACAAATATGTCAATTAGTGACACTTTGCAGTTGAAAACTGTGATAGTTTATGACACTTCATGTCACAATTATGTCTGTCTATGACACTTTGCGTGTCACATTTCTGTCTGTCTATAACAATGTACATGTCGCACATCATGACATTGCGCGTCACAACTATCTAAGCCTATGGGAATATGCATACAACAAAGATTATGATTTATGTGTTTATTTTAATTATGGCACTGTGACAATGTGTACGTCCTATCTATATCACTCTGATATTATGTGTCTGTTAGAACTATGACACTCTATGACAATGTGTATGTCAAGAACTATGACACTCTATGACAATGTGTATGTCACAGCTATGTCACTCTATGACAATGTGTATTTCACAACTAAGGCACTCTATATTGAACTATGGAAGACTGTAATTGTTGTATGATCTTTATTGACATTGTCCATGGGCGTGGCCAGGATTTTTTTGGGAGATTTTTTCTCCCCTCCCCCGCAAAAAAATGTGTGTGTGTGTGTGTGCGGGGTATTTAAACTAAAAAAAAAAGTGGATTTTTTAAAAATTCAAAACTCCACTATCTAAGGTCATAGAATTTGCTATAGAATAAAATTGAAGAGTGAGGTTTTCAATCTCAAAACTCTCTGAATTGGGGTATTTAAACTCAAAACCATCAGGAGGATTTTAACTCAAAACCCTCTTGGCTTAGCTACGCTCATAGAATTTTGAGTGTGTAATTTTTTGTTATATATTGAAGAAGTATTTTTTAGCATCAAACACGCTGAAGAGGGGTTTAAACTCTAACCCCTTTGGCTACGCTCATAGATTTTTTGAGTGTGCAATTTGCTTTTTTTTATATTGAAGAGGTATTATTTTAGCTCTAAACCCCACTGGAGGGAGGGTTTTAAACACAAAACCTTTCTTGGCTACGCTCATAGATTTTTGAGTGTGTAATTTGCTTTTTTTTATATTGAAGAGGTATTTTTTAGCTTCAAACCTAGCTGAAGAGGATTGTTAAACTAAAAACCCCTTTGGCTACGCTCATTTGCTTTTTTTATATTGAAGAGGTGGTTTTTAGCTCTAAACACCGCTGGAGGGGGGTTTTAAACACAAACTCTCTTGGCTACGCTAATAAAATATGGTGACTGATGTATGGATAGTTTTATCGTAAATTTCGGAGGGGGTTTTGAAATCGAAATCTTGCTTAGCTATCCTCTTGAAATTTGAGAATTGTCGTTGGCATTTTTTTGTTTTGTTTTGTTTAATAGAAGTGGGGGATTTGACTGCAAGAACTCCTTTAGCTGCGCTGGGGCAAGTGGATGGTTTGGTGTTCAAATCTAACTTAAAATAAACAAAATCAAAGCAAAAAATCCGTCACTAGATTTCGATCCCCTCCTCCTGCGGGGGTTGGGGGGAATTTCATTTCGGAGCGGGGGGGGGGGGGTTTGAACCCCAAAACACACACACACACACACGCACGTGGGTTACGTTCATGCCATTGTCTATAGATTTATTAATTTGTGATTCTCAATAATGAGTCGATGGTAATTTGATTGTCATATTGTATTCCGCAGCTACGAGGCTCAGTTCCATTGGACTCGATCTAGTTTTGTATTCATGTAGTAATGACCACGTGGCCTGAAGTTTGTATGGCCTTCGTACCAAAACAAAATGGCTGGCTAGCACTGCTGTAGGATTATTTACACATAACTAGATTTCATTACTTCCCTTTGTTTTCCCAGCATGGGTGACTAACTACACGTAGGAACCACTTCCTGCTTTCTTATCCTCCATGTATATGGATTTCAAATAACAGATGACAGAACTGTGTTTCGGGTGGAGGGGGGGGGGGGGCACCTCGCACAGCCCAGAACTTGACGCTTTGTTATTTTTTAGCGTGTGTCTGTATGTGTGTGTTTGTGTGGTGGATAGATTTTTTGGGAAAGGGGGTGAGAAAGCATGCGTGGAAAGTCCTAATTAGCGATTTCTTCATGTTCTATTATTAGTCCGATAAAACCTTACTGATGTAGATTGTGTAATTTAGATCAATATAAGCCTCACGAAACGATTGTAGGAGTGTCAGCGTTAGAAACTGAATGGTTTTAGTCTCTGTAGTTTTAAAATTCTTTTTTTTTTTTTAACTGAACTGGTGACTTTGAAATAGGATTATGACATTGAAATAACGAGACGTTTCAAGTGCCTATTATAGTATACCTAGTGGACCGGTGGCGTAGCATACACCGCTATTTTGCAGGGCCGCCCTTAGATGACCGCAGAGGGCTCCGCACTTATACGACCGCAGTGGGCCCCGCACTTTCATAGGACCCGCGCTAACAATAATAAATTATTAAATTAAAACATTGTTTAACTTATAACAGATTTCACGCGCCCCAAACTAATGAAGAATTACTTAAGTTCAACAATTCTCGGTAGATAGATTGAAACATTTGTTAATTCTTGCTATTGAGCGTGATCTATGTAGGAAATAGAATGTTGATGCTATACTGTATGACTTCGCTACACGCAAGGCTCGTCAAGTAATTCTGTACGTCGTAAAGAATGAATAAAATGAAAACACGAATTTATTTTCTAATACAAACTCTTAAAATTTCACTTATTATCCGCGGCGTAACTCTAGTTCGTCCGACTTGCAGAAATAAGAGAGTGATCTTTCCTTTACTTCTTCTTCTCGTCCAAACTCTTGAGCGAAGAAGAGAATTATATATATGGATTGACTTTCTTACTTCTCTTTTTATTTTTAAGTTAATAACAGTTTGTCTTGTGTTACTTCTCAAAAGGAATGGGTCCGCAGTAAATGGTAGACTTGTAGTTCTGTTTTAAAAACGGATGAAGGTTTTGATGAGATGACACTGGCGATGATGCATGTTGAAGACGATGCTTTCCTTAAGTTAAGACCTATATTAGTTTTGATTCTTAGACATACCCATATATATAGACTGGCCAGTAAGACTATGTTTCCTCGATCATGTTTATGTCCTCTTTGGGAGGGAGGGGGGAGGTTGTGAACTAATCTAAAACGTGTGCTCTTCAGTTTTAAAAAAACAAAAAGGGAGTGGGGATCTGGGAGAAGGTTTTCGTGCTGCCTTTAGCAATTAAAAAAAAGTTGCCCCAGTCTGAATTTGAACTCAAGCTTCGATCGCCTCGTTGGAAGGCCGACATGTTTGACACTGTACTATTCAAGTACTTATAAAATTATAAAATTTATAGTCTTTTGTTAATTGTTGCGAACTACCTAATTTTCTACATAAGACTTATCTCGCATTAGCTTTGTAAATTGTCTATATAAAACAAAATTAATTAATCACGACTTATTGATTAACTAACTTGCTTTTTTTCAATAGATTCGTGTAGTTATCAATAAATAATTGTGGGAAGTTTCACCTTGATCCGAGAATGGGAAAGTGTTACAGATTCCAGACAAACAGAAGGATGGAGTGAGTCTATATAAGCTATGAAGAAAGTAATGTGCTACCATATTAATTTCCGCGTGTGGCGAATCAAAGAAAAATAATGTCTAACAGAGCGAAGAATTAAGTACGGTTGAATGTTAACATAGCTGAGCTCTTCAAGACCTTAACTCTAGTAGAATGTTAACTTAGCTGAGCTCTTCAAGACCTTTACTCTAGTAGAATGTTGACTTAGCTGCGCTCTTCAAGACCTTTACTCTATTATAGTATGTCAACACAGAAGGGGAACATAATTAACATACTTCATTTACAAATCAAATTAATTGTGACTAAATGGTCGAATAATAAAAGTATATAGGCCTACAACCTGTACAGTGGAGTCTTTAACAAACAAAGTAGACACAATGCGGAAATAGTTAATATTCATTACAAAATAAATATTGTTCCTATAGAGCATAAATATTATCAATATAGATTATATATAATGTTAAGTCTGAACCTATAGAGCATAAATATTATCAATATAGATTATATATAATGTTAAGTCTGAACCTATTACTCTTCTAGAGTTATAGTTAAAGGTCACAACAAAAAAAGAAAGAGACAGAGAGAGCTGACGACTTACATTAGGTTATAAGACACAAGCCATGACGAAACAGACTACTCTAGTGATGTTTGAGCAGGGACGGCTTGTCTCAATCGTTCTACAGCCAGGTGTGACCTATTCAAAGCTATCCACACTTATCACAATGTATCTGTCTCTCCGACATCTTTTCATCTGCCACATCCACTCTTTCTTTCGTACTGCGCTGCCCACTTAACCCCAGGCAATGTAGGTATAAAGGTGTGACACGTGGCTGTATAAAGGATACATTCACACTGGAATGACTGAATAAATCCTTGCCTGATTGATATTCACAAAACTTATCATTGGAAAGTAAAAAGTTGTATAGTGCTCAAAATCAACTTGCTTTCCCCATTTTGGAGGAGTCCATTGTATTTATTGTAGTGTGAGAGCTCACCCATCCAAACAACCCAGTAGATGGCGTTGTTGTCACGTTGCTCAGATTGGACTTCCGGTTTAGCCTTGTTATAAAGCTGGATCTAACTCTTAATGGGAAGTTAGATTGAAAAATATATCTTAAGGCGTCTTTTAGAACGTAAGCAATGAATGAATTTATTTTTTAAAAAAATCGATGGTTTAAGCAACAAGGTGTGTATTGCGTTGGTTGTCACAATCCTAAGATCTTTTTTTGTTATTGTTTGCCAGAAAGAGCGTGTGAGACATTTTAATGACGCATTTTATTATTTTAAAAAAGTGATCTTTTCATTATGTTGCATTTAGTTGTATCTTCTATATGTTGGAAATAGCTGGATGATAAGTTTGTAAGCCTGTATTTAATAAGATACATCTACACACAATCGATTGAATGTCAGATACTAGAGTTTCTATCAGAAGGCTTTATCTCTGGGATAAGTATATAAAACATTAATGTTTGGTTGAGTAGCTGTAACACTTTGGGTTGAGTAGCTGTAACACTTTGGATTGAGTAGCTGTAACACTTTGGTTTGAGTAGCTGTAACACTTTGGATTGAGTAGCTGTAACATTTTGGTTTGAGTAGCTGTAACACTTTGGGTTGAGTAGCTGTAACACTTTGGATTGAGTAGCTGTAACACTTTGGATTGAGTAGCTGTAACACTTTGGATTGAGTAGCTGTAACACTTTGGGTTGAGTAGCTGTAACACTTTGGGTTGAGTAGCTGCAGGGCCGGCCCTAAGCAAAGTGAATTGGTGGCCCCAAATGAAATAGAAAAAAAAAATTAAGAACGAAGACTATCCAATGAACTAAAAACCTTCCTGTATATATATTTATATCAACAATTAAGGTAAATTCAAGTAGCGCAATCTCCAAGCATTGCATTACTGTTCCATGAGCTTCTTAACTCTTTCTCTCCTAATTGACGATACCATCGTTGATTTGAACTCAATAAATTAAATTGAGGTTTGATTTTATAAACTTGACTTTGTGTTATATAAAAAGAGCATGTAGTCCCCTTTAATCCTATACCAAATACAACATTTTCTGATAACAAACGAAAACGTTATTGAAGCGTAATCAGAAAAGGTTTGTAAAATACTACTGATTGAAATTTAGAACATCGTCCAAACGTGGGAAAATAATTACGGAGAGAAAGAGTTAAACATCTTCGTATAGATTTCATGAACGGATTCTTCTGCTAAATCCAAGGGCCGATGGCACGAACTGTTCTTCGTGGACAATTCCTGAACACCAGACTAGAAATAGCGTTTCGACGTTTCACCAACAGGAAGAAACAATGGTCTTGGAACATGTCTTAACAAGAAGATCTAAAGATTCATAAATAAACCTTCAATTATAGTAGAGACTTAGAGCTAGGCTAGTAGACATAGAGTTCTGCTATGTTTGAGATTTGATCCATGTTACGCAATGTTTTCTCTAAATAAAATATGTGAGTTCTGTGCGATGCCCCCACCAATCGGAAGCCCTAGACGACAGCGTAGTTTGCATTTGACTAAGGCCTGCCTTGGTAGCTGTAACACTTTAAAGTTGGGCTGAGTAGCTGTAACACTTTAAAGTTGGGCTGAGTAGCTGTAACACTTTAAAGTTGGGCTGAGTAGCTGTAACACTTTAAAGTTGGGCTGAGTAGCTGTAACACTTTAAAGTTGGGCTGAGTAGCTGTAACACTTTAAAGTTGGGCTGAGTAGCTGTAACACTTTAAAGTTGGGCTGAGTAGCTGTAACACTTTAAAGTTGGGCTGAGTAGCTGTAACACTTTAAAGTTGGGATGAGTAGCTATAACACTTTTAAGTTGGGCTGAGTAGCTGTAACACTTTAAAGTTGGGCTGAGGAACTGTAACACTTTAAAGTTGGGCTGAGTAGCTGTAATGCACGTGAATTATTACAATGTTTGCATTGTCCTTTTTTGATCTAACCTTACCTACAACATGACACAAACGTCAAGCCCTTTAGCAGACGACCAACTTTTCTGCTGGGTAGCGATCGTTAACAACTGAGCTTTTTTTTCTGTGTCCGACACATTCTCTCTCTCTCTCACATATCACACTATATATATATATATATATGAATGTATGTATGTATGAATGTTTGTATGTGTATGCGTGTGTGTGTATTTGTGTACTAATGTATATATATAAATGTATGAATGATATTTCTATACACATTGATTGGAATACTTTCTTGATGTATGTTCGCACACAACTCATTCAATAAAAACTTTCATTCGCTATCGTCTTTTAACTTGTCCGAAATTCAAACAGGAATTATTTCCCCTTCGGGAAGAACTCGCCAAATGAATGCTCGGGCTAGTTTTTGTAAGTATTGATCTATGGATCCTAATTAGACTACTCGATTTGTCCTCAACATGTCTGTTCCATCCTCTCTATCAGCCAGTCAGTGGTGTCACCTCTTGTAGACAACAACCAGGAGCTGAGGTTTGGTGATACTTTTTGTGTACTCAGTCTGGCTTAGCCATGGAAACCGAATAGTTTCTCATAGATTTAGATTAGATCTTGGAGTAGAGAAGAGTGAAATGTTTTGTCTATATCACCTTGTATAGACTAGATGAATGAGGGCTATACAATGCATAGTATCACTCTATGAAGGACCAGATTTAGACTTGACAAGGGCCTAACCTATTTGAGATATGGGCCCCTTATAATTAATAGAAGCAATTTTGTTTTGTTCTTTGCTCTTTCTACCAAATGATTGAAACTATCCCTGGAACATTGGGAACCAGCAAGATTCTAGATATATTTTATATTCTAGATCTATTCTAGCTCTAGATTCTATATATATATTCTATATTCTAGAGCTAGTCTAGACCTATAAAGTAGATAGAGCGATTATGATCAGGATTAGTTGGCCTAATAATAATAAGGCTTGTCTTCGAGTCCGAAGTTTATTGAGGAATGCAGTATTTCCCGTGGCTGTGCAGTCCCAGCTGTGACCTAAATATTTTGCCACAACCAGTAGTCCTACTTGTGGGTAATAGTGCACTATGCTGTCCGGTGACTTGTGCGGGCTAATTGTTTTTTATTTTCTAGCCCGTCTACTCCAATATATTAATCAACATTGTTGGGGGAGAGGCACGTCACTAGGGGGTGTGTGCGAAGGGTGCGGTCGCACCTGGTGAAACCATTTTGGGGATGACAACCAAGTTAAAAAGAAAATTATATCTTGGCAAAAGCAGACACTTGGGAATTAATTATATTAAAATCTCTAGATATATCTTATCTTATATGATACAGACGTACTTCAAAAAAGAAGATGATTACGTCCTACGCGTTTTGTACACGTCTAGATGGTAGTGTAGGAGTAAATGCGAAAGCACAACGTTATACGACTTCTGTCTTCAAGTATAACAAAAGAAAACTTTTCTGGTGATGTTAAGTCTGTTTCTAATTTTAATTAAATATCATTGTAAAATTTGCAATAACATTTGAATAAATGTCATAAACAGTGGGATTTTATAATAGAATTGACACTCATTTTATATTTAAGTAAAAATCAATAATAGTTGGCAATCAGCTTACTGTATTTGTTCAACAAAAAGAACTAACTAGCAATAGTAATTATTGGAACTTATTTGAAGACAGTTGAAGGGGAAGGTATGACACTCTGAGTTACTGCACCAGGTGCCACCGACACTGTCTGGGAGGTTTCCATTCTGTTTTTAGGTGATCAGTTAGATCTCTACTTTTTAGGTGATCAGTTGGATCTCTACTTTTTAGGTGTTCAGTTGGATCTCTACTCTAATTATTCCATTAGAGTTAGAAGAGTCTTATCAAAGACGAAGTGTTGTCCTGTTTGCTTTTATGTTAAAAAAAAACGCCAAAAGATTTTTTACAATTTTATTAATTTAAGCGATCAGAAAAAGACTATGGCTTAAATATTCCTGGTCCATTGGTGACTTCGATGGGGACCAAACAAAATAATTAATTATCAACAGTTAATTAAATAATTGTTTTTTTTTTTATTGATTCTTGTGTTGTTAGGTAAAAGAAATAATTGTGTAAAATTTTAGCTTAATCCGAGATTGAGTGCCGGAGAAATAACGTGTACAAACTTTTTACCATACAGACAGAGTGAGAGACATATAAGCTTTATAAAAAATATCCTCACATTTCCTGACTGTCATCA